TTTCTGTTCCCTTGATTACAGTCACATAAATATTTTATTGTTTAAACACTGATATCTATTTATCTCCTGTAGATGCTGTTCAGTAAGCTGAGCCACATATACCACAAATGAGTCTCATCTCCTGCCATGATTGAAAGCCACTTGATCAGGCTTAGTCCTTTCCCAGGCATGCATGGTCACATTTTCAGGAACTCAGCATCTGACCCAAAGCCAGCAAACTGAGCTAATCCACTCTTTCCACAATAGGGAATAAGGTTATTGAGATTTTAATTTTCATTGCAGAGGGGGAAGTTTGGCTGGGATTTGGGCAAGCCCACCAGCGAGAAAACTAAGATCAAAGTAAGACCATGGTTCTTAATGAGAAGCAAGATATCAGTAATTAGGGGGGAAAGCATTGAAGAAAAGAAAAAGTTAAGTTCCTAGTATGTAATATTTGCAAGGTTGTTTTTGCTTCTTTAGAAAAATTTGATTTTGAAAATTATAAAATATACAGAAAAAAACAAAAATAATACAGTAAACACTGATTTATGATTTTTTTCTCAGTTTCTAAAATATACTCTGAAACATTAACATCTGAAGTGGAAGTCTGCAGGGGCCTTTAGAAAGTAATGTTCCTTTCTGAGTGACAGGAATTAGCCTTGGTAATTCAGAGATACCTTTCAAAATCTTCAATTTGGCTATCCTAATAAAATCAGAATCTTTTCTGAAATTTTCTGGTGCTGTTTTGATTTTCAGTAGGTTACTTTTCAAATGTATAAGCCTTTAATTAAAAATATGTGTTTTCAATAAATAAATGATCTTTCTTGCCCCTTAGAGTATTTATAACCAATGGCAATTAAAGATATCTGCTGAGATATCAGAGTTTTAATAAAATTCCTAGGCAGCATATTAATTAAAAAGAAAGAAGAATTGCTGGGACCTTCAAAAACAATTAGAACTGACCTACCTTAATGAGCTGTCAGCAAGAGGTCAATGAGTTTTCAGGGAGAAGACTAGCGACTTTAGACTTGTCTGGTAATACTGATTTTTTTTTGAGGGGTTGGGGATGGTTTTCCTCTTTAAAACAATTGCACTGATTTTTAAATACTATTTTCGGTGCTTTCTAAAAAATTCTATATTGTTACCAATAATATTTCTTCTAAGACTATGTACATATAGTGAATAAGAAAGATTTCATCTTCCACCATAAAAAACACATTATATTCTAAATCACTTTAGTCTATCTTGCTTCTCTCTATGCCTTTCATTAACTCACAATATTGGCTCAGTTTTTATAAACATTCTCAATCATCCCCCAAATGAAAAGCTAAATTAATAATTTAGAGTGGAAATCAGCATCATTCCTTAAATTAACAATCCTTCTCAATTTATTTGAAAACCGAAAGAATAAATTTTAGTTGAAAAAGACATGGAACGTTTACTCATTTTAGTACTGGTACAAAACTAAACTGAACTACTTGGTGTCAACACTAAACAACTTTTTAACTCCCTAGTTCTCAGTTCCAATGCTTGGCAATAATGTGGGTTTTCAATGAATGGTCTTGTTCGTTATCATCTTGGAACCACAGGTTGCCTGGCATTGAGAGGCTCTCAACCTTCCTCTGAGTTCTGTGCTGTATCCAGCTCATGACTACTACGGAAGTATTCAAACAACGTCTTGAAATACCTCTCAACTGTCATCCTGTATGAAAACAGAAAGAAAACAATGCCTCCTGCTTTTTTACTAGCTGGAAGAAGAGGATCTCAACGGAAGAATACTTGAAAGTAGAGACAGTTTTACTTACCACATTTTCCTTGTCACAGTAGGAACTAAAATCACTTGATACAATTGCAGCATACTGAAGCAGTACTTTATTGATAGTCTAGGAAAAACAACAACAAAAATACTGTCAAATGTATGCAGGTAAGTACATAGTTTTATATACATACTGTAGGGGTTAATGCTCATCCGGCAAACTTTCCATGTCTTTTTCAACTTTCATTAAGCAATGACTAAATTTATACTCTCACCAAAAAGAGAAAAAAAAAAGAAAAAAGGAACTCAACTAAACTGTTTAGATAAAAATTTATTATACTTATGAGTATATTTGGAAGATATTCCATGTGGATTCATCCCATTTTAATATAACATGCAATATGTACAAGGTTCTGTATCTCTAACTTTAGTAAATATTCTGAAGATATACCAACTATTTTTGTGGCAACCTCCTCCATGGTTGAATACTTATTAACTAATGACCCACAATGCTCTCTTTTTTTTTTCTGAATAATTGACACCTTATGCTTTGAACCATCTCTTTTGGTTTCTAGTTACCAACCTTGCACACATACACTATGCCAAAATTCTTTTGTCATTTTCTCAACTTTCTCCATTGTTCCTAAATACCCCGTTCTAAGTGGGGTCAGAATATTCTAATACATGTCACTTAGCAATAAATATTTTCAATAATTTTCTATGATAAAGAAGCTTACTGATTATATCAAAGACCACTTCTTAAAACACAAAACTTCTGCTTTTGTTGTATCACAAAATCTCTATACACTTACCTTAATTTGTTAAGTTATTTATTGATGCATTATTTGCTAAAAATACTGCCTAATCTTTCCCCTCTTTCTGTTCTTTTCACCTAATTTCACACTGTCCTTATCCATCTAATAACTATTTCTGAGCCTATAGATGCCCTCTGCTTCCATAATTATGCAAAACAGGGAAAACAAACTTTGTTACATTTTATTTCAAGTACTTAAAAATGTATTGATGACTGCATCCTACTGCTTTTACTTAGACAGCTTGAGTGACCATCAGTCAAATATGGATGTGATTTTCTTAGAAGAGAGGAAACAATAATAACAGTAGATATATGCCATTTCTTTTAATAGAAAAAACAAGGACACAAAAGCTCTTATTTTCTTTTTGTATAATATATTCATCTGAATTTTCTTTATGGCTTAAAATCAGCTCAGGGAAACACTCTAAGGAGTTAAACTAAAGGAGACATGTTTAATCTACTAAATTGAATTCACCAACTGTGACTATGTACTTGTTTTATAGACTTTTAGGATCACAATGAAAACCTGAAATTAGGGACAACATGAAGAGAGAAAATCAATATTCTGTGGAAGTACAAACTAAAATGATAATACGTGTCCATTTAAATAGAAAATCAGCAATGGAAAATATAAAATCTTATCAAGCAGCAGACCAATAAATCTAGGGAAACAGATGGCTGATCAGACTGCAGTATCTTGCAAGTGCAGCTGTTCAAATTTTGCTTTAGATATAATGCTGAACCTTGGGGACTTACCTACGGAGTACTAATTCACTCATACATATGGACACTACTCTCAATTCATAGGTTCTAATGACAATGTAAACTGTAAGAATCATTTCTCTAAATTGCAAAAACAAAAACAAACATAAGCATGATTTTAGGAGCTTGTTGCAACACAAACATTATCACTTGTTCAAGATAAAGTTTGGGCATGGAACCCAGACATCCATTTCTGATCATCTTCAAGGTTTACCCCAGAGTCTAACACTTGACTTTACTTCATAGGAAAACCTTAGTCCTTTGAATTTTTGCTGGGACACAACTGAACCTAGAATCTCACACCCACTTGCCTACAAATGCCAGTGGTTAGCAAGTCAGCATGGGTTGTAAGGAAAAGTGCTCAGCCATGTAGGATGTGCCCATAAAGTTGTGGGTGCACTGGCTGTAATAACGTCCATTTCTTTACTAACATACAAAGCATACCTGAATGAAAATGTATAAATACATCTTAGGAGCAACTTCGATTTCACTCTAATTTATTCAACAAAGTAAATCACTATATTATTTCTTTAGTTAATACTAGTAAGTAGTTACTTAAGACACATCTACCTAAGACATGTCTCCAGCAGCAACAGAAACTTGTTTGGAAATGCAAATTCTCTGATTTTATCTCATATTATAGAGTCAGCAATTCTTGGGTTTGGTCTCAGCAATTTATGTTTTAAAAATCTGCAGGTGATACTGCTGCAAGCTGAAGTTTAGGAACCATTGTGCTTACTAATCACAGCAGGGCAGAGGCAACTCTTCAGAGAAAGAGCTGATGGAAGGGGCACCTAGTAAAGCATGGAAGGTAGGACTTCTGAGTGTGTCAACTTAGGTCATTATTTTATCTTTGGGGGGCTACCGGGGGTCAGAAGTGGTGACAGAACATATATAGAGGGGACAGATAGCCTAGCAGGGGCTGTTTGCATCATATTCTATAATAAAACAGTATAAATGAAGAGAGAGTCATGAGTTGGAGACAGTTCTTTTATGGATGCAGCAAAGGAACTGCCATTCAAAGAGCTCCCGATTCAATAAGATGAAATCCTAACAGGATTGTGGCAGTGAAGACAGGGCTTCTGCTGTATTTAATGGATCGGAAAGAGTGACTCAAATATCCACGCTTCAATATACTGTGATTTGACATGTAGCCTCTGGTATTATTGAGTGGGATGGCCATCAATTTCTCAAAGTCACTTATGGTCTCCTAAGCTAATGCCACACTAGTAGGAATAGGCTAAATAGCCTGTCAACACTACCGGTAGCTTCATCGAGAGATTTACTCTTATAATCAGTAAGATAAAAGCTCTGGTCCAAATTCCATTCCTGCAGTCACATTTTAGGCACGGAACAGAACAGTATCAGAGCAATGCAGAGAAGACAGGAAGACTGTGTGGTATCTGTTAAGTGACATTAGAAATGTCACTCCAGGACCTAATAAAAGTATATTTTAATGCATCCAACAAAGATAACCGCCCCCCCCCCATAGATTCCTAGGTTTAACCCAAAGGGTAAAAAGAAATGGTGAGAATATGCTCTTTGACTTACCAATTTTTGATGACACAGAATGTGAAAGTATAATAACTTAGTGGTTAAAAACATTTCATATGTGTGTTTATAGATGGGTGCCTTGTTTGTGTTATTTAAACTTTCTGGGTTTTCGTCAATTAAAAAAAAAGGAAAAATAACATTATCTATCCCATGCAGTTGTAAAGAATAAGGGAAACAGAATAGGTAAAGTGAATAGTACATAGTTTTTTATATATATACATTAGAATTAGGTTCCCAAAGAATAAGGAATATGTGTGCATCATTCACCATAGCATCTCCAGCCCCTGGCAGCCAGCCAGACTTAGATCAATGAGTCAACTAATAGTTGATTTGTTTTTAAGTAGTACTGAATATATTATTTCATTTCTCTCTCTCTCTCTCTCCCTCTCTCTCTCTTTAACCATTAAACTACCCATACTTGTCAAGAGCAGCAGTACTGCCATAGGAACATTCAGTACCTGTATGTCATTTTACTACTTATCACAGCTTCTGGATGTACCTGCTGTGAAATTTAAAGCATTGGTTTGGCTTCTTATTCAGTCTTATACACACTTTAGTAAGAACAAGCTATCCATTTAAGTTCCATTTTAGAGTGTGAAGTCTTCTAAAATGTCTGAATATATGTATCATTAATATGTCTTCATTATAAGAGATGGCTTACATCAGTATAAGTCTCATCAGAAAGAGAATATGATTTCAGTATATTTTGATACAAGGAACCCAATCCTTAGAAAGATAGGGTTGTTAACAACAAAGATCACATCTGATAAAATAAACCCCAGTTGCCTGAATTATTGCAAAATAGCTAAATAGATTAATCACATCTCATTTTTATTTTTATGATTTAAAAAATCATTCCAATAAAATAGAATCTATTTTTCAATGAAAGTTGCCAATTTTTACTTTCCCGGAAATGTTTACATTATTTCTGTGTGACAATAATTGGGTATTATTGAATTCCCATGGATTAAAAATGTGTTATTTAATTGAAATTAATTTTTGTGCCAATAAAAGCTCACATTTCCTCAGTGACACATGGAGTCTATTTATTTTCTTTTTTCTTTGGAGAATGTGTTTACCTGAATGTAATTCTAATACAACCTTCTTCGTGACCTGCTCACCCCTTTGTCTTCCCTCCAGTCCATTTGATTATATCCCCAGTGGTGTCAACATGGTTAGGTTCAGCCTTACAGTGGGAGAAAGGTCAGAGCTACCAAGAGGTGGATGATGGGCTGGAGCCCAGGGCCTATGAGTCTCAATTCAGCTTTCTTCTTTCTCTCTCTCACCTCACATAACCTGCTACCTCACTATTCTGAGGGTGAATTCTAGTTACTTTTCTAATATCATGTGCAATTATAATAGTATGTTACTAAATATATTAACTCTGAGGTTATTAAATTCTCATATGATCCTGCTTCCACTGCATGTCCTGCAGTTCCAAGAATTGCATGTGACATACCTCTTTAAAGCAGTATCCCTGATGGCCCCATTTTATTCTTTTCTTGGCAGTCACCCAAAAGAAAAAAGTTACTCAGAGAATATTTTGAGCAATTCTCTTGCATAATGACTGCAAATTTCAATATATGTGGAAATTGAAATCAGCTATTACCAAGAAAGTCCCCTCTAGGAATGATCCCAATCAATGATTTTTAGCTATCATCTCTAAAAGTTGGAGGTTTTTTAATCTTCATAATTAACAGTCATAAAAACTACAAATATTTCATAGCAGATAAATAATGCAATACTGTTTAGACTGACAGGTTATCTCCCGGAAAGCTTTCATTGGCTTTTCATTTTCTACTAAAGAAGTTCAGCCACTTTGCCCATTCTTCAAAACGCCTTACAAATACGGATCTAACTTTGTAATCATAGTTGCACCTGCTCTCTCTGAACCCTATGCTCTGTTTTCATTGGGACCTCTCAGGCTAGAACCCCTGAGTCACTGAATGATGGGGTTGGGCGGTGATAAAGATTCTTTTCTTTGACCAAACTCTAGCCAGGTTCCTGCATACCCCAGCCTTGGCCTATACAGACTTGAACAAATACTAGAGCTCCTTAAAGTGCCTGCCTGCAAAAATGCAAGGCTGCCAAAATAATTGACTGTTTCAGCCAAAATCTGAAGTTGGGTCCTTGTCTCCCCACCTCTGTGGGAGGGTAGAAACCTAAATTAGATAACCACCAGGGAGCAAATCCAGATGGGTTTTACATGAACCAACACCCTGACTCTACTGAGCCCCCACTTGCCCCTACTCCCTCTTTCTCCCTTTAAAATACCCAGTAACCTCTGTATAAATCAAAATTGAGTCAAATTCATTCTGGACTCTTCTCTATTGTAATAGTATATTATTGTTTAAAATCTGTCCTTACCACTTTAGAGTCTGAATTTGTTTATCTTTGATAAACACTCCTCTATAGGGTTATCCAATCCATATCTGATGTTGTATGAGCAGGAACTAAATCTTTGTTTCAAATCTTAGAGTTTCTTAGTTTACTAGTTACTTCAGCATAAACTGTCCTATCATAATTAATAAACTGTTTCCCAAGAAAGCTTTCTTAATTCCTCTATTAATGAACCAGGTTTACAGTTTTCTAAGAGCCTGGTCAGGCTCAATTCTCCACCCATAAAGGATTTCAAAATTAGACTTTTTGTGATAATACAAATGAAGTTATATACCCTTGTGTTTGTGTCTGTGGCTAAAAGCATGTTAACTATATGCATCTTTTATGGGTTGAATTGTTTCCCCTCAAAATTCATATGTTGAAACCCTAACCTCCAGAATCTTATAATGTGACTGTATTTGGAGATAGGGCCTTTTAAAGAGGTGACTGTTAAAATAAAGTCATTAGTGTGGACTGTAATCCAATCTGACTGTTGTCTTTATATTACAGCGGTTCTCAAACCTGTGGGTCGCTACCCCTTTGGGGTCGAACGACCCTTTCACAGGTGTCGCCTAAGACCATCGGAGAAAAAACATATATAATTACATATTGTTTTTGTGATTAATCACTATGCTTTAATTATGTTCAATTTGTAACAATAAAATTGGGGGTCACCACAACATGAGGAACTGTATTAAAGGGTCACGGCATTAGGAAGATTGAGAAACACTGCTTTATAAGTAGAGAAAATTTGGACACACATAGAAAAGCCAGGGGTTCACATGCACAGAAAAAAGACCACGTGAGGACACAGTAAGAAGGCTGCCATCTGTAAACCTAGAGAAGACTCAGAAGAAAAATACAACACATGAGATATACATATAGATATTCTGGGCTCTTTTCAACCTCTCAGATACCCTGATTATATAGCATTTGACTTTGTCATAGTTGTTTACAGGTTTGGCATTTCATTTTAAATTTTCTGAGGTCAGAGATTATGCTTATTCATGACTAACATCTCAAAGGGGCTAGTCAAATGTGCAAATGAGGCCACGAATAAGCAAGCATTTGAATGAACAGCTGAGACCTCTGCTATCATCGGACCCAGGTGGCCAGATTTATCCTTAGGACAGTAAGACAGAGGAGTGCAGGTTGTTCCCTATATTATTCCACTAGAGGCCTGGTGCATGAAATTCGTGCATGGGTATGGTCCCTAGGCTTGGCCTGTGATCAGGGTCATCTTCCCCAGCTGCTGTCAGCCGGCTCCACCACCCACCGCCAGCCACCCCCGGTTCACTGTTAACCATCGGGCAATCGGAGCCTGCCAGCCTGGGGGAGGGACCGAGAAGTGGTCAGTGTGCCTCATGGCAACTGGTTGAGCGGTCGTTCTGGTCATTCTGCCATCCAGTCGATTTGCATATTACTCTTTTATATATATAGTCATATCACTACCCGACTTAAGTATCTATAACAATCTATAACAATAAAAGCATAGTATGCTAATTAGACTGGACAGCCAAAAGACCTTCTGGACGAAGCTGCGGCAGCGGTGGCTGAGGCAGAGGCGGTTAGGGGTGATCAGGCAGGCAGGTGAGCAGTTAGGAGTGATCAGGTAGGCAGGCTGGCATAGGGGTTAGGGGCAATCAGTAAGGCAGGCGAGTGGTTAGGGGTGATCAGGCAGGCAGGTGAACAGTTAGGGGCAACCTGGCAGGCAGGCAGAGGCGGTTAGGGGTGATCAGGAAGGCAGGCAAGCAGTTAGGGGCGATCAGGCAGGCAGACAGGTGAGTGGTTAGGAGCCAATAGTCCCGAATTGCGAGAGGGATGTCTGACTGCTGGTTTAGGCCTAATCCCAGAGGTCCCGTTTTGCAAGAGGGTGCAGGCTGGGCTGAAGAACCCCCACTCCCCCCATGCATGAATTTCATGCACTGGGCCTCTAGTCTCCAAATGTTTAGTGTTTCTTAAATTGTTCAAAAGTCTAAATTTCTGAACCTGGAAAGAAAGACTCTTCAAGATCTGGACCCATCTTCACTCCCCCAACCTTTCCCACTGCTTCTCTCAGAACAGCTGTTTTTCCTCTTTACATGGCAAGCTCAGCTTTACCTCTTCCTCCATTCCTGCTATTTCCTTGGCTTAGAACACTTCTATAACTTCTTCTTTTTTTGGTTGAATGAGTCCCATTTTCCCATAAAACCTCTGGCTATTTCAGCTCTAATTATTTTTCATTACCCTTGACTTACTGTAGATCCCATTATACTTGAGATCAACTTGTGTCCCTCTTCATGTAATCTTCCAATTAGTTCATTTCATGTGATCTTAATTATATATATATAATGTACTGGGGTCAATTCATATATGTAGATATATGATTTGAAAGGTGGAGACCTCATCTTTTATTCCTTATATTTCTACTGAAACTCTTGGCAAAGTAGTAAGCATTGTGTGAGCCTTCTTAAACTCTAGGAGGAATAAGAGGTCTTAAGAGGAATCTGGTTGATCAATATAAATCTGTCAAGTAAGAATACTAACTTCATAAAATTCAAAGGAACTGCTTAGATCCACACTACAGTTACTGAATGATATTAAATTAGAATGCAGTTGTCATGACTGCAATTCAATATACTTTTCAGTGTACTGTAGTGTTGGCTAAACAATAATTACAGTTTGAATATGAAATGTCAAGGCTTATTTTCAGCCCTAAAGCACCACACTTGAGATAGAAATAATTTGACCATCCATGGCAATGTCTTTAATTAAAAAGGACTGAGTCATTCATTTAAATAACACATAGATGTTTTTAAAGATGATAAGTCCATATTCAAGAAACAAGAAGTGAAGGAAGATGACAAACCTGAAACAACAGAATCTCTTGATACTTGAATTAGAAATTAAGTTGGGATAGTGGTGTCAGGGAAGATATACTACCAAACAACAGCATTATTTAGGTTCTGTGCAGGCAAGTAATAGCATGGCACAGTTTCAGCAAAGAAAGGATTCATTCCACTTAACCTACCTTTGCGAATCTTCTCATCAAGTGAGATAATGCTTCAGGGTTAGGGCATTCCAGTTTCTTAATAATCTCAAAGCTCTGATTAAGCTGAGCAAATACATCAACCACGGAACAAGAGAAGAGGGCATGATCAGATGTCTGCTGAAACTGAGGGGAGAAGGTGAAACCATTCCATTAAACACATTAGCAGGACTGTGGAGACAGTCTTCATTGTTTCACACAAACAATTAAATCTCCTATATCATGGACCTTCATATCACATACTTTCATTTTCCAGTAATAAAGTGCCTATCCATTTTTAAATTATTGATCTCCTTTTCTGGAAGATGTAGTGAAACTAATATCATGGGGCAGGCTGCTATTAATTGGTCTCTCCATTTCTAAATTGGGGAACTGCTTTTTGTTAGTTAGTTAGTTTGTTTATTTCTCATTCCCCATAAGTATTGGCATGATTTTAGCAAGCAGACTGTGGTTCAAGACTTTTGAGTTGCTTCAGAGGCATAGGGAGTGTATCTGCTCATAATTTTGGCATCTTAGAAAAGGTTATAGGACCACAAGGGAGTTTTGTACAAGTCTGTTCAACTTGTAGATTCTGACCGACTCAATTTATTCCTTATATTTCTACTGAAACTCTTGGCAAAGTAGTAAGCATTGTGTGAGCCTTCTTAAACTCTAGGAGGAATAAGAGGTCTTAAGAGGAATCTGGTTGATCAATATAAATCTGTCAAGTAAGAATACTAACTTCATAAAATTCAAAGGAACTGCTTAGATCCACACTACAGTTACTGAATGATATTAAATTAGAATGCAGTTGTCATGACTGCAATTCAATATACTTTTCAGTGTACTGTAGTGTTGGCTAAACAATAATTACAGTTTGAATATGAAATGTCAAGGCTTATTTTCAGCCCTAAAGCACCACACTTGAGATAGAAATAATTTGACCATCCATGGCAATGTCTTTAATTAAAAAGGACTGAGTCATTCATTTAAATAACACATAGATGTTTTTAAAGATGATAAGTCCATATTCAAGAAACAAGAAGTGAAGGAAGATGACAAACCTGAAACAACAGAATCTCTTGATACTTGAATTAGAAATTAAGTTGGGATAGTGGTGTCAGGGAAGATATACTACCAAACAACAGCATTATTTAGGTTCTGTGCAGGCAAGTAATAGCATGGCACAGTTTCAGCAAAGAAAGGATTCATTCCACTTAACCTACCTTTGCGAATCTTCTCATCAAGTGAGATAATGCTTCAGGGTTAGGGCATTCCAGTTTCTTAATAATCTCAAAGCTCTGATTAAGCTGAGCAAATACATCAACCACGGAACAAGAGAAGAGGGCATGATCAGATGTCTGCTGAAACTGAGGGGAGAAGGTGAAACCATTCCATTAAACACATTAGCAGGACTGTGGAGACAGTCTTCATTGTTTCACACAAACAATTAAATCTCCTATATCATGGACCTTCATATCACATACTTTCATTTTCCAGTAATAAAGTGCCTATCCATTTTTAAATTATTGACCTCCTTTTCTGGAAGATGTAGTGAAACTAATATCATGGGGCAGGCTGCTATTAATTGGTCTCTCCATTTCTAAATTGGGGAACTGCTTTTTGTTAGTTAGTTAGTTTGTTTATTTCTCATTCCCCATAAGTATTGGCATGATTTTAGCAAGCAGACTGTGGTTCAAGACTTTTGAGTTGCTTCAGAGGCATAGGGAGTGTATCTGCTCATAATTTTGGCATCTTAGAAAAGGTTATAGGACCACAAGGGAGTTTTGTACAAGTCTGTTCAACTTGTAGATTCTGACCGACTCAATAGGAATCTTGGGGCAAAAAGGTGATTGATTATTTTTTATTTAATTTTTATTTAAGCAATTTCCTAGGGTTCCGATTAGCCCTTTAAAATTGCTTTAAAAGCTCCCTGACCAGTTTGGCTCAGTGGATAGAGCATCGGCCTGTGAACTGAAGGGTCCCAGGTTCGATTCTGGTCAAGGGCATGTACCTTGGTTGCGGGCACATCCCCAGTGGGGAGTGTGCAGGAGGCAGCTGGTCGATGTTTCTCTCTCATTGATGTTTCTAACTCTCTATCCCTCTCCTTCTCCCTTCCTCTCTGTAAAAAAATATCAATAAAATATATTAAAAACAATAATAAAATAAAATTGATTTAAATTTATTTTGGTCATTAGAGGATTAAAATAAACTTTAATAAATAACAACAGCCTAACAATTCCCATTAGCTTAAAGATGAGTGATGTGACTGAATCTTGACAATAAACAATCTTAAAGTAATTGAAACTCACTCCGTCTTTTTTGTCTCTTCCTAGTGCTCCATGAAGAAACTCCATTGACACATCTTCATTTTCATCTAGCCACTGCATGACAAAAGGCTCAAACCACCTAAAAAATTAATATTACAAACTATAAAAATGTTATTTACATCTCATTAGCAGTGAATGCTGTTCCCAAATCTCTTCTCATTTTCTTTTTCCAGTTCAGCTTCCTTTAGCTTTACTTCATTAAATACATCTCCCTCTCTTTTACCTTCAATCTCTCTTTCTATATCTCTTTCAGTCTACAAAAATAAATGCTTTTTATTCTTTGCTACATTGCTATAATTTTATTTTGTGTCATTTTTCCTTCTATCTAAAGCATGGTTCCTAGTATACATTTTTGGTGAGCATTAGCTGGAAATGGGTTATTTCAGATTCTCAGTTAGGTCAGTGTCTTTATTTTGCTTTATTTTTGAAGGATATTTTTGATACTTGTAGAATTCTAAGTTGACTTTCTCTCTTCATCACTTAAAAGATATCAGTGCATTATATTCTGGCTTTAGTCATTCTCATTTAGTCACTCTCAACAGTCAGTCAAGAGTATAGTAGCTCTGGTAAAGTGTTTCCCCTTTCTTGACCCCCAATACATTTAAAGATTTTCTTCTTGTTTTTAAGGAATTTTCTATGATGTACCTATAGGTAGTTTCTTTGCATTTATCCTGCTTAGGATTTACAGGAGTTTTTGAGCTATGCCTCATGTTTTTAATTGGTTTTATAAAATTCATACCTAGTATCATTTAAAACATTGCTCTGGTATTATTTTTTTCTCTCTTCTATTATTTGGGGGTCCAATTTTTTGTATGTTAGACCTCTATAATTTTACTCATATATGCCTTGCACTAAACCACTAACAGCAAATCATTTATCCACTATTATGACTTGTCCACTAAAAGGACAAAGTTGGGCTAAATTCTTCCCCTCAAGGGACATATCAAATCATGTACATATCAAATCATGGCACATACCATGGTGTTGCATGTTACCCTTCCTCCTAAAGCTCTATGCACATTTTTATATCCCCAGTACCTCACACATGACCTCAAACATTTTTGGTATTCAATGGAACTGGGTTACCCTTCCCTTCAAGATTCAGTTAATGTGCAAACATTGGAAGAGTAATACATTACGTCAGGCTCACCCATCACATTTGCAAAGGCAGTAGCACAAGTGGAGGCCCACATGCCGTAGACCTAAATACTTAAGATTTCTAAACTAAGCTTATAAACTGCTGTATAAATGTGTTGTGGCCCTGGCCCAGTGGCTCAGTTGGTTGTAGCATTGTCCCGGTACACCAAAGGGTTTAGAGTTTGATTCCTAGTCAGAGCACATACCTAGGTTGTAGGTTCGACCCCCCCAGTTGGGGCATCTATGGGACGCAACCGATCCATGTTTTTCTCCCACAACGATGTTTCTCACTCTCTCTTTCTCTCCCTTCCCCTCTCTCTAAAAATCAATAAAAACTTATCCTCGGGTGAGGATTACAAACAAAAATGTGTTCTATGTTCTAACTCAACAAATAAACATATAGCACTTTGCACAGTGCCTGGCATATGGAAGACCTTCCTTGATGGAATAAAATAGAACTCTGATAAATATCAATGCATAGTATTACAAGTATGATTGTGTGATTACAAATGTATTTGATAGAGATATGTTTATGAAAATGTTACCTGTTTAATAATGACTTCAATTTTAATTTCTAACACATTTTTCCGGTTGAATTAAAGAAAAACATCTGATTGTATAGCTCAATATATAGAGTTGGGCAAAAGTAGTGAGGACAAGAAACACAGTTTATTCTTGTATTATTGTTTTTTAATTATTGTATTATTTTTCAGATTAACAACTGTAAACCTACTTTTGCTCCACCCACTACAAGCATCCTCATTTTCCCAAGAAAGTCTGAGTTCAAGCACTTTCACAGAAATTAATTTCATCATGTGAGCCACATCCTATCATGTATTTCTTTCTCTTTGAGTTTAGTAATAGCCAAGTAAGACATACTTGAAGAATGCAACACAATTCAATTAAACATGGTTCCCAAAGACCTGCGAATCATTTAATGTTAATGTTATAATAGACGTGTCTGTATTCAGAAGACAACTACATGAACAGATTTCAGGGCTGCATAAATCAGGTGTAATTATGTGGGACTTTGAATTGAGAACAAACTTGGGGTTGAAAATCACTACTTACAAGGAGTATTCAGGAATGGCATCCTTGAAGGCAGGAAGTTCTCGCACATATTCATTATAAAACCATTTCACTTTGAAATGCAAATTCATATAATCGGTGCTCTTACATAACCGCTGCTTTTCATGTTCTAGAACAGATAAAATCAAACATTTAATAAAGTTTGGTTTGCCAACAATGCTGCGGTGTTCCAATTTACCTTTATTAGTAGTATTTCCAAAAGGAAGAAAATCGTGTATTTGATATAAAGGCAAAGTGAATGGCTGAAGACAAACCTGAAATTTTACAAAATGTAAAAATCATTATAAATCCTATGCCAATAGGTCAAGAAGTAATGAGAAATAATTTGAATGTCTAATGTGCCTTCCTGAAAAAAAGGTGAGAACTCTGACTTTGTTTTCTATTTATCTGCAAGCTCTCATATTTTTACTACTTTGGGCCTGGTAAAAGTGCCAGAAAGCATTAAAACTCTAAGCATGAATAAAACATGAATTCAACTGGGAGACATAATCCCCTACTAATACTGGATATGTGAATGAGTAGCTCACATTTCTGGTCTGGATATTTAACACTTAAAACACTAAGATAGTTGAAAATGAGAGGAAATATATCTAACTTTTAAGCCAGATTATTTCTTCTTCATTTTTTTTAAGTTCAGCTAAAATTATTTTATACCCTGTGACCTTTTTGACATTTCTTGAGCAGATTTTTCTAATATGTGATGTTCTTTCTCGCTTGCTCAAAAAGTATAGCTTAAAATTGTATTTTGATCTGGACATACAGTACTGGGGAATAGAGACAAACAATATTACTAAACATGTTTATCTATTTTCCCCAGGCCCCCAATATTAATATCTTGGCCCATTGGGGCTTCAAGTGCAGATACAACCAAATCTAAAAATATCCCTAACTATATTCAGGCTGAAAGTGTCCTCTGAGAAGCTCCGGTCAAGATCAAGGTCTGTGAATCTCTTTTAAGCTAAGGGTTTTGACTTACAGTAGAAACATACCAGTACTATACCAGTACTTTATATTCCAGGATAAAAATACCAATTGAAGCAATTATATTGTTGTAAACAAACTAGAGGCCTGGTGCACAAGATTCATGCATGGGGGGTGGTGGGGGAGTGTCCTCTCAGCCTGGCCTGCACCCTCTTACAAACCAGGATTCCTCGGGGGAGTCTGACTGATGGCCTACATCCTTAGCAGTTGGACATCCTTAGTGCTGCCGTGGAGGTGGGAGAGGCTCCCGCCATCGCCATTGCACTTGCCAGCTGTCAACCTGGCTTCTGGCTGAGTGGTGCTCCCCCTGTGGGTGCACACTGACCAGCAGGGGGCAGCTCCTGCATTGAGCTTCTGCCCCCTGGTGGTCAGTGTGCATCATAGCGACTAGTCGATTTGCATATTAGCCTTTTATTATATAGGACTGAGGATATCCTTGCCTCTCAAAACCTGACTATAGAGAGATTTAAATCCAAGTGATAAGCAAAAGAAGAAACAACCCCAAATAGAACATTTTCAAATTGTCTAAACAATAATTAAAGACAATCTGTAGAACTAAGAGAGAGAACACACACAGAGAAACAAGAGTAATAAACTAATACTCTAGAACAAACTCCCAAACAAAATTATGAACTATGTGATATTTTGCTTCAACTCCCTCCAAATTAAATGCCACCTTTGCCCCTATCAGTGTTGTCTCTCCCCCTGTCCTTACCCCTTCTGATTTCTAGTGTCCTTTCACATCTTATGAGGAAACGTTTATCTGATAAACTCATAGATAATAATTTAATGCAATACAACCCTGAAATCCAGATAAGGGAAGTCTTTTGCCCCGGAGCCCACACATTAAGAGGGTTCTCTATTTATCACAAATGCACACTCAAAAATTAAATAGTTTCTGGCATCCTCTGTCACTTGGGATCCCATACCTGGTGCTGGTACAGAGCAAGTCAGACTCTAAACATCTGGCCTTGTAACTAACACCACCTGCTCTTATGATTAACACCTGTTTGAAATGAATAAAACTAAAAAAAAAAGACCGTACCCTTTTATGTAATTATGTTTACTTTGAATTTTTATTAGTTCACACAAACACTCCATCCATGCTTTTGTTCCGGCCCTCCGGTCCAGTTTAAGAACCCATTGTGGCCCTCGAGTCAAAAAGTTTACCCACCCCTGCCTAAGCCCAAGAGAAACACTTTGGACTGTCTTTTGTTCTCTATCCTAAAAACAGAAGGTGACTGTGAACAAATGCAACCAGATTGCCATTGCTGACAACAGACACAGATACTGCTTTGGAGCATGGGAAGGACTTGGAACCATGGAAGCATTTAAGTAAGAAAAAAACAAACTAACTCATCAGGTTCTTCCTCTGGGTAGCATAAATACAATCAATTGTTGCATAACCAAGCATTATTTTCAAGTATTAATAACACCCATTTTCTTTTGTCTAATTCATGCATTCAAAGGCACTCGTCCAGCAATGTGGCATGCTGCAAACAGGTGTACATGCTGCCTGGAAGCAGCTTTAAATATTAAATGATTCATATTACTCTCAAAGTTTGTGTGTATATGTATAGTTTCAGATATAACATACATGAAGCCTGGTATTGATTCTTTGCCAACTAGATGACTATTGAAGAGTTTGTTTGTTTTTGAAATTTAGATTAAAGAAATTTAACTCATTACATTTTAGCTTTATTCAAATAATTTACATAAACATTTATATGAATAATTACTTGTATTTGTCCTCATTTTATTAACTAGTTTTAATATTTTAGAGGGCAATAGCTTTCTAAAAACTATTTAGGAACTATATCTAAAAGCACATGGATGTAATTTAAATTTCTAATATTTGTATTTATAGTTTATTTTGAATTGCATCTTTTTATAAAATACATATTCAAATCATGTCCATTTTGAATACAATACCTTTTTTTAATCCTTTAAATGTCAAGAATGTGCATAAATTGAGATTGGATGGAAAAAAATAAATGAACCTCAGGAAAAAGGCTGAAAATAGAAAAAAGTTCAATAACAAGGTATTCTTACTTTGTTTAAACAGAAAAAAAGAGAATAGAAAGGTTATATTTCAACTATTTTATTATAAGAACATAATTAGTAATTTTGCTGAAATAAAGGTAAAATATATATTTTTCTGAAGGGATATCACATTGATATGAAAGTAAGTTTATGTGTTGAAGTAGAACATTGAACACACTTTATATAACAGTTTATTAGCTTGATTTAGAAATCATAAGCATTTAGGTCTATGGCATGTGGGCCTTCACTGTGCTACTGCCTTTGCAAATGTTAGGAGTGAGCCTGACTTAATGTGTTACCTCTTTCAAGAGTGTTTGCACATTAACTGAATCTTGAAAGGAAGAGTAACCTAGTTCCATCCAATACCAAAAATGTTTACTTAGCATGTATTGTGCCAGGTCATGTGTGAGGTACAGGGATATAAGAATGAAGGACTCATAGAGCTTCAGGAGAAAGGGTGGTATGTGACAATATGGCATGTGCCATGTGCCATGATTTGATATGTACAGGAGACTGGTCCATTAAGGAGATTAATTTAGCCCAACTTTGTGCTTTTAATAAATGATTCAATAGAGAAATGATTTGATATTAGTGGTTTAGTGCACAAAGTAGAATTTGAGTAAGAGGACACGTGTTACATAAAATAAGATTTCTAATTTATAAGAAATACTACTTAATATGTATTTGTCTCTTTGTGAAATGAAATAACTGTGCTTTTAATTAAAACCTTGGGTTTTATCCCCTTCTCTACTTATATTTTTACATGTTTTATTGTTAGGTTTGAGTGAACCTTAAATTCATGCTGTGCCTTAAAAGCAAAAGGGTCACCATCCTGGCCAGGTGGCTCAGTTGGTTGGAGTATTGCCCATACACCAAAAGCTGGCCAGTTTGATTTCCAGTCAGGGCACTTCCCAGGTTTGGGCACATATAGGGAGCAACCAATCCATGTTTCTCTCTCTCTCTCTCTCTCTCTCTCTCTCTCTCTCTCTCTCTCCCTTCTTCTCTCTCTAAATAATAAAAGGCTAAAATGCAAATAGACTGAACGGTGGAATGACCGGTTGCTATGACGAGCACTGGCCACCAGGGGGCAGACGCTCAACACAGGAACTACCGCCTGGTGGTCAGTGTGCTCCCACAGGGGGAGCACCGTTTCAGCCAGAAGCCAGGTTGACAGATGGTGAGTGCAGCGTCGGTGGTGGGAGCCTCTCCTGCTTCCACGGCAGCACTAAGGATGTCCTACTGATGGCTTAGGCCTGCTCCCATCAGTCAGACATCCCCCAAGGGCTCTTGGTTTGCAAGAGGGTGTAGGCCAGGCTGAGGTACCACCCCCCCCACCACCCCCAGCAAGTACAGAATTTCGTGCTCCGGGTCTCTAGTCAACTGTATTTATACTAGTGGCCCAGTGCACAGATTCATGCACATTGAAAGGAAATTAATTAGAAGAAATATTTTAATAATGCTATTTGCCCTTTCTCTATAATAGAAGTATCAGAGATGAAAGAAAATTAGTAAAATGTATATGAAAATAATATGTAAATTGCTAAATAAATAAACAATAACAACATGATATAACAACAACAAAGACATGACATAAAAACAAAAACATGATATAAAAACAACAAAAACAGGTATAAAAACAACATTGATAAAAACAATGACTGATAAATTGATTAAACTTATTCTAATATATCCCTGTATACCACATTAAGAGTAAAAATACTTTCAGAGTGCTTGACTAATTTCCCTTGTGATGAAGTATTTACAACTTTAACTCTAACATCATATGCTCTTTGAACTCCAGAGAAAGAAACATATAACTGATCATGTCTGAAAATGGGTTCAGGCAGGAATATTCCTACTCTCTCTAGAGTTTGTCCTTGTGATTTATTAATAGTCATCACAAATGCTGGCATCACAGGAAACTACCTTTGAATTAATTTAAATGGGAGGCCAGTGTCAGAAGGGGACAAACATTGTGTATGCATGAGTCAACGTTTATTTTTAAATTGCCAGTGCGCATCATATGTACCAGCCAGTCCGTCGGTCAGATAGATGGTCGGTCACTTAGCCTTTTATATATATAGA